GCGCCCTATCCTCGTGCCAACAAGAGGCAACTCAGTTTGACCTCTAGCGCTCTTCCCAGGGAGGAATTTTACGCTAAGTGACATGACCTCAAACTCGACTTCCGATCTTTCTTCGATCAATAGCTCCTGGATTTCTAGAGATAAGACAGCGACAAAATTTCCCTGTATAGGCAATACATTGTAGATGACAGGGATGTATGTTTGGATGAGCAAAGACTCCATATAAAAAAGAAAAAAATTTGAATTCAAAAATACCCAAAGTGATTCACTAATTATGGGACAACCTAATATTTCGTTATCATTCCTTTTAGCCTTGAAAAGAGTTTGTTGAATATGTTGTGAATAGTTTGTTAAATAAATTGAAGCTAATTCCCTCAATAACGATTCAATGTATGCTTGTTCTACATTATTGATTGTGATGAATGATTTGATAATTTAGATGGCCGTTATTATATTTCATTACTGCTTCACTACTTTCAGAGCCTGTTTATTTTTTCGCATTCCTTTTAAAGGTACCCATTTGTGGCACATGAAAGTAGAGCCAGACACCTCAGCTATGATAGCTATGATTATTAAAAAAAAAAACACGGTGGAATGGGGTCTGGATAGTAGCCCTCGGTGTCCCATTCACTGTCTTAATTAAGCAACAAATCACTTCCCTTCCTATTGAACTGGATCTTGAAAATATCATTTTTTTCAGGTTAAACAGACATTTACTCGTTGCCATTCGCACTGTGACTTCGAATCTATTCCGTTGGTGGAAAACAAACGCTCGCACCTACCGTTTTGCTGTGAATGTGAAAACGCAGGTAAGATAACTGTGTTCGCTATTCGTTTTTCGCAAAAAATTGCGCGCTATTCATTGCTCATTCAACATGACTTCCTTTCGGCGATGCTGCATTTTTGCTAGAATTTTCCTGGGAATGTGATCACTTGGAGATTTCAAATTTTTGAGTCATCTTAGCTTGAAATTAATCTCATGAACGACTGTCGCGCTAGATTACTGTGTCACTTTGACTCACTATTTGTTTTTGTACCCGTGTTTTTCTTATATTTATCTGTACCATACTCAAAGGGCGGAAGTGGTGTAGTGACAAGTGGCGCGCTCACCACGCGAGCGGTCCGGGGATCAAATCCTGGGTCGTGAGTCGCCCGGGCCAACCAAGCCTTCCATCCCTCCGGGGTCGGTTAATTGGTACCAGACTTGTCTGGGAGGATAAAAACACTGACTTGAACATCGGCTGGCCCCCGCAAGTCATTGTATAGGCCACATCGCATTCAAATGCCACTGCGAATGTACAAATGGAAGTAGAATGCGTGCCGCATCCCAAAAAGGGATTGATCAACGGCAAATGCTTTATCCTTTATCCTTTATCCTTTATCACACAGAATTTGCTGCCACCTCTTCCTATATTCGTATGCTTTCATGGACAAATGCAATAGAGCAAATGTTTATTAGCAAGTGAGTTTTTTTTTATTTTATTTTAGGCGAGGAGCCTCTGCTGAGATGTTCCCAATGCGTGAGGTCATTTCACGAATGTTGCCTTACGCTGAATTGTCGAGATCTGCACAACACCAACCCCAAACCGTTGTGTGAATCGTGTATATTGGGCGAAACGTTACGGATTGACAGCCAGCCCCCCCCCCCCCCCCCCCCCCCCAGTGATCGCCAAGTTTAGGATATCGTGAGTTCGTAGTCATGTTCGCGGGATGAAAAGCGGATGTCAATGGAAACATGAATAAGGGCAGTATGCATACTGCCTTGTTAAGTGCCTTGCGCCATGGAAAGCTGTTATGGACGGCTGGGGCATGGCCTCGCAGACAGTGAATTATCGTATCCACTGCCTATTGTAGTTGTTGTTATGAGTTTGGTACTCCAGATTTTTGTTTTGGTTTTTTTTACTTATAATGGCATTCGAAGGAAGTTGCTGGTAGAAATCATCTCTTCAAGGTGATTTATAACTTTGCATACCTCCTTTTTTAAAAGCGATGTGTCAGTTTATAGCGAATTTTTTAAAATTCACCAGTAGTTGCACTTAAAGAAATAATCGCTGTTATACGACGACTGCCTTACTTTCTCTTACTATTTACTGCTTTGTAGTTTTTGTTTTTCTTGAACTTCTTTTGATTTATTTTGCAAAAATAATTTTCGTCCATTTTTTTCTCAAATTTAAGCCATCAAGTTGACTTCGTATTTGTCATTCAGGTTCTATGCTGCAACGATAACAAAGTTGGAGGAGTATCCGAAACATTGCATCAAAGCGTAAGCTTTTACTTGACTCCAGATGAAATTGTGTACTTCTTTCGATGCTATCTCAAGACGGGCGTCGAACCTCTAGTGCGGAGTTCTTGAGCGGGAGAGTTTTGCTCAAAAATCCTTCAAAATTCCGAGCAGCAAAATTCTCCACAGTTGTTTTGATTTTTTGTACACGTTTTGATCTGTACTCGCAAAGAAGACTTGCTCCATTCGTGCTACTTTCAATAGTAAAGCATATTAAAACCTTTAATCTCCGCGGGAACTTTCAAGCACTCAACAGAGCCGAGAAATCCAGGCATTCATTGAAATGAAAAATTGAAAAGATTCTAAGAGAAGGTTGCTGGCTATCTTTTGTCAACTGCTAATTTTCGGATAGGTTAAGCTGATGTTATAGACATTAACGAGATTTCTTCTGTTCACGGCAAATTATCCCCCGCTCACCTCTTGCAGTAGCTCCTTTTTTCTTCTCTTCTGTTCGAACTATCGTTTTTAATTGCAGCATTTGAAGCGGTTTTCTTTGACATACTCTGTGCATTAATAGTACCATTTGGTATATATAATTTTTACAATATTACAGAGACAAGTATGGGAAACACTATAATGAACCCGGTTATCTTTCGGTAAAGTGGGCGGGCTGCCAGAATCTGTATGCTTTACTGCCTGCTAGGAATGTTGTAGCCATGTTTGCTGGATCCTACGACTTAATCGGCAAACGTGTAAGAGAAGAACCTTGCCGTCAGGGTCCGTGCTGATTCGTCTTATTCTTTTTATGGTGACTGTTTTCGCTGCTATTAACATTCATAATGCCGTGTATTTGTAGCTTGGCAAGAGATGGAAAATGATCTAGCCGTCCCTCGGCCTACATTTGATTACGTTCCTGAGAAGTACACCAAGATAAAGGTGAATTGCATTGTCTCTCATGAATAAACGCTGAGCTCTCATAGATTAGCAATGATCGGGTTAAAATTAACGAATTGCTGTTGCAGACGTCTGTGTACCATCCGAGTTGCCCAAAGCCCCGTCTTGATGGCTGCGAGGAAACTGACAGTATGTGCGACTGTCCTCCTTCAGAAAATGACCGATGTGGCCCGAACTCTAAATGTACAAATCGTGCAATATTGCAAGGAGTGCCCAGAGGTAAGAAAAAGAGTCAAATTGCGCTATCGTAGTACCAGTGCTATTTACTCCATATTTTTTAATGCTTTATGGTTAGCGTCTCTTTTTGTTCCTTATTGTTTTCTTTCATTCATTTAAGGTAAAGGGGATGTAACGCTCATTAAATTCGGCATGCTCTATTTGAAATTCGAATTATCCAGTACAATATTTGCGTGATAACAATTTTGTACTGAAATGTGTGTGGGAGTTTGTCCTAAATTGTGTGGCTGTTTCAGCATTCAAAACAGTCAAAGGGCAGGTGGCGTTATAAATTGTGTGGTGGAAATAATGAAATGTGCGTTATAAGCCTCCGTCTTTTTTCACCATTAGTCCCTCGACCCGCCTACCGGTTGGCTGCTCCAGCTGCTTGTCCCCCATCTTTTGATAGGGGCAGGAGAGACTCTAGCACCGATGTTGGCTGCATGTGACTAAAGGCGGAAATTCACAGCAGAGAAAAAGGCCTCTTACTTTGCAGAGTTTATTATGGCAATTCCCCCCACCTCTCCACCCCAATTGGTCCTTCACATTGCATCCTTACGTAACCTTTGACCTTCGTTCCTTTGGCGCGCTTCCAAATTTTCGGCAAACCAGCTAAAAAGGGTTGGCTGAAGTTATACGAGAACACATGATTGTGTAGGACTTCTTGTAATATCGTTGTGGTTCGGGGGAATACAGTGGTAGAATGTTTATTCTCTAGCTTGGATTCTGGGCGTGCCTCTCAGTCTCAAACGAGGCCGCGCCTGTGGTATCATTTGAGTGACATTTATGTGCTCAAGGAGTGGTGAGGTGTTGAGATGAGTGCGTAGGTGAGATTAGGTGGGAAGGTTCTGGTGGCATGCCAGAACATGATCTGTCTTTGCTGAAATTTCACTTTTGTTTCAAGTGATCAAACAGAAGTGGTGTCTCAAATGTTTTTTTCACAAAAGGAGGGAGAGTGAATTGCTTTAAGACGCTATGGCACTTGGGAAGTGAATATATGGACTTCAGTGATTCTCCAGCGCTAAAATTTCCTTTAAAAAAGAGTTTGAGCTAATCTTCCATCTCAATTTCAATATTTTTTTTACCATCAAAAGTCCCAGCTAAGCTTATGACTGCTTGCATGCTCCTTGTATTCATTTAGAGCCAATGTTGGACAGTTTAAAATTCTTGTTGAGCGCAAAATTTGGCCTTATTTTTCATTAAAAAGTTTCATTATCCAATGGTCGAAAAGGGGCAATGGGGTTTAGAATAGAATAGGAAACAGTGGCTGATCTGATCGTCTTTACTTGAAAGAGGAAAAGAAACACCTGTCGTTATCTTAAAATAAGAGAAGGTTTTGGAGCAGCAAGACCGGGCATTTTGGCTGCGGCGTACTGCTTGAGGCGGATGGGTAGCAGAAACTCGGCGAAGACAAAGCGAGGACCGAGACGGTGATACCGCATAAGAGCACATGCCTGGATGATTTCTCCATTTCGTATGGCTCAAGCGGCCGAGTTGCGTTCGAGTTTCAACAGTCACGGCGCACGTTTTGGGGAGATTTTCCCTGAATTCGATCGGATGAGCTTGCAATCAATCGCCTGGTGACGCGTTTATGATGTTTCTCTGCGACGTCCTTCCCAATTCGTGTTGATTTTTTGCTTTGGAAAATGTTTGGCGAAAAGTTGGTAAAATTGCGATGATTTCAGGACTTGCGAAGCGCTTGAAGGTTGGTTGCAATAACAGTAGGAGGAGTGTCGCGAAAGGAAGTCAATCCAGCAGTAGAGATACGCGAAGCGCCAGGAAAGGGAATGGGTGCATTCGCGGCTCGAGACATCCCTAAGGTGAGGTTTTCAAGTTTACTTATCTCGACCCTAATTGTTGATTCATAACGAAAAATGTGTGCCGAACCATTTTTAAAAAGTTTCCCAATGATCATTTTCAGGCTCATGATTCATAGCCGAGTACGCTGGAGAGCTGATAAGCCACAAGGAAAAGAATAGGCGAATCGCGGAAATTACGGCTCATCGAAATGCAGAAGAGAAACACTACATGATGGCATTAGATTCACAGCGCATCATTGATTGCAAGGAGAAAGGCAATGATGCAAGGTATGCACTGTCAATTCCCTACTCTTGCTTGCCTCTATTTTGTTGGTTTCTGGTTCATTCTTTTCTTCCTAAAATGCTCGTTTTTTGGATTTCTGAACCACTCGTGTAGTCCAAACTGCAAGGTTGAGACGTTGTATGTGGTAGTCAGTCGGCTGAAGCGGCCCAATGGTTTCGTTGTTAAGGTACGACTTGAGAAAATTTCGATACCTGTTTTGTTACAGTTCATCAAGACGTCGTAAAATTTCACTTTTAGTATGACAAACGCATAAT